AGAGAGCAGCAGCAACAGCAGCAGCAGCCTCGTTTGGCATTTGCGGGGCATATCCAATGCTGGACCAGGCAGCAGCTGTTTTCGGGCTGCCTGCCTGGCTCCATTGTTATCTTTTGGCAGCGCTAAAAGGGGTCATTATGTCAAGGATTTCACTGTACAGTGGCGGGCCATCGACTGGCAGATCTATTCCACTGTGGCAGGTCGCCTCTTTTACGCTGCCTGCCTGCCCGGCTGCCCGCCCGCCTGCCTGCACTTCCTGATAGCCACAGTCTCTGAGTCATGCCAAAACGGTTCAGTGTCATTGTTGTGGCGGCTGCGGCTACGGCTACTGCTACCAGTTGCACGCTGGCAGCGTTCTTTGTGCCGCAATTAAGCGCCTGACAAAATGACTGACAATCTGACTGTCGTTTGTGCAGCCTTTTGCGTCGAGATCTGTCTCTAGATCTGCCCCAGCCCAAGTCCCCCTTCTGTCTCGGCCACTTTATTTTTGGGTAATTGCTAATCCCCGCTAACGAGGCATTGAGCCGCCATTTGAGCCACTGCCACTGCGTCGCTGCACTGCCAAGTGTCCAGTGGGCGTCGCGCATTAGTTTTCAATATCTGCCTGCCGCCGCTGCCGTTGCAAGTTAATGTGGCGTTCAATGATTGCGTCTAATGATTGATTGCCACAGATATGCAAAAACAAAACAAAAAAATCAAAACCCAACAAGCAAGTCTTCTCCTCCAACGCGATCCTTCAACGAGCAAACGAGCGAGCGAGGGAGGGAGAGCGAGAGAGTGAAACTCTGAAAATGAAAACGAAATTGGTCTGCAACTGCAACTGGTTCCTGTTGCATGCTGCATAGTGCATGGTGTGCTGCTGGCGGCTTTAAACGTGACGCTGCTGACCCACTGAACCCCACCAGAGGCAGTCCGCCGTCGCAGCAGTGGGTGATGGGTGGCGGCACACAGTGCCAGTGTGCCTTTTGGGTGCAAATTGTTGCAAGGCAACCGGCAGGAGAGAGAAATATTGAAGCACACACAAAACGACGTCCCAGAGCGGAGCTTGAGCTGGTGCTGGAGCTCGCAGCTCGTGCATAAAAGTTTATTGATTCTGTGCCAGCGATATTAACCCCCCCCCCCCACCCCTCCCCCGCGCCACACCACTTGATGTTGCATAATTATTTTCAGCATAATATCAATTTAAATATAGACACAGATATCGATTATCCATTACGGAATGGGGTCGCGTCGCCAATCGACAATCGAAAATGGAAATGGAAAATGGAAAATACGGTTCAAAAGTGCAGCCTGCTAAATTGAGCCAAGATTGTGATTTGTCAATCCGGTGAGTAGGAGAGCAGGCAGGTGCTGGCTGCCATTTAACGGTGATTGAGAGAGGACTTAGCGAGGGAATTGGGAGAGGATTTAGCGAGGGAATTGGGAGAGGATTTGATGAGAAATTAAAAGAGAATCCACTACAGGAAATAGAAAGTGAATATCGACAGTGAATACAAGAGGATTTTTAAGGGAATTAATAAAAAAATTTACAGAGGAATGGAGAGAGGATTTCCGGGGCAAGTGGAGTAGGATTTCCAGGGCAAATGGCGTAGGATTTTCAGGGCTAATGGAGTAGGATTTCCAGGGCAAATGGAGTTGGATTTACAGAAGAATTTGTATACAGAGAGAGAGAGAAGATTTCCGTTCATTTGCGCTGCTCCAAATGGGAATGGGATTGCTGCAGCCGCAGCAGCCATAAATCCCTATAACACCTGAGAGAGGAGGTAGAAGTCGAGCGGAGTCGGAGTGTCGAGCGTCGGAGTGTCGATTTTGGCAGAGTGTGGCGCAGACAACTTCATAAAATGTTGGCTTGCTCTAATGTCAACGCCTAACAGGTAACAACATATTGCAATTTGGCCAAATTGCTGCGCGGCTAATTGGCACGTGTTGCAGGGGCACAACACTGCGGCAGCAATAGCAATCGCCTCTTATTTGTGGAAGAGAGAGAATTCCACTTAAAATGCAAATTTTTGCAGCGTTGCACGTGCAACACAAGCAACGAAAAAACAAACAAAAACAACCTCCCATAGAAGGATGCCGCCCCGCTGTCGATTGGTTGGGCTGCCTCGTAATTTGTACGCAACACGGTGGGGGCATCTGTCGAGTAGAGCAGAGTAGAGTAGCGTAGAGAGTGGCATCGTGTGGAGCGTGCAACGTGTGGCAGTACTGTATCTCCCACATCTACCGAATGAAGACATAAAATCGACTTTAGTATCCCCCGTGTGATTGGTGGAGTGCGTTGCATGCTCTCCTTTTGCGGCATGTTAATGACTTTATTTGACTATTTTGTGGCACAGTGAAAGCTTTAGCTAGTGCCTGCCTCCGCTTGCATGCCTCCTCCCTCCCTCTGCTGCTGCCACAAACAATGAAATGTGCAACAAACTAAAGTGCAATTTATGCCCCAATACGTGTAAATAAACCAAATTGGTCACGTTTTAACCATTCGAATTAAATTATTCACACACACACACACAGCACACCACACACCGCACACACCCCACGCCACACACCGTCGAAGACGCGCCACGGGGGAGGAGTGAAACATACAATAAATACACACCAATTTATTTGGCAGCCAAAAACATAACGATGAACCATAACGAGCTGGGGTGGCTGCATTCCGTGTAGTCGAAGCTAAAGATACCCTGCAATATTTGAATATGAATTCTCGAAGCTTCCTTTGCATGATGTTATTTCAGTTAGAAACAAAAACAGCACCAAACGCTCTCACGTCCAATTCCCAGATTCCATTTCGCTTTCCCTCTCAGTCAGTCAGAAACAAAAACAACAACAATGCGCGACCCGCACTCGACAGATTCTGCTACCTGCGTTGCTCCGATTCTTGCACTTGCGTGAACCGCAATTGTATGTTGCTATCTCTCTCTGAATCGTACACGAAACTTCACTGCGAGCTTCGCTACTCTCGCAATTCTTTCTGTGATACTGTCCCATTGCGCTCTCAGCAACAACAATGCGCCCATCCATCCATCCTCGTCTGAGAGCACGCACTATGGAAACATTTTGGTGGTTTTCGTCGCGCGCCTTTTGACTTTAATGGAATCTATTTTTGTGCCGCTTTTGCATGAAAGGTGCCCACAGTGCGACTCTAGGAACTTGGAACGCTTGCGTTAAGCATTGCAAATAATTAACGGGATCTATTCTTTGCTGCGTTAGTTCCTTGTATTTACTTCATTTGCCTTTTGAATGCTTTTTGATGCTGCTCCAGCCAGAGGCTTTCCAGTGGCTGCTCAGCGTTGCCTTCAAACCTCCTGCGGGTAGCAAACCGCTGCCCAAAATCATCATACCCCGCCAGCAGGTTAGCCAAAACACTTGCGACTATGTATCAGTTTCCGTGCCTCTTCTGCTGTTGTTGTTGTTTGGCCGCTGCCTGCAACATGTGTTATGACCATTATGGCCGGTTGTATCAGTGTTTTTTGCTTGCCGGGGTTGTCAGGGGTGCTCTCTGGGGGTTAAGAGCTTTAATAATTTCATGAAATTTAATATAAAACATTTTGACCGCCTGCCCCCAGCCACATTCATTGCAGGAGTGTTTCGCGGGCCGAACGCGAAGGCTTATCAAAAGTGCTTTGTGGCATAAACACTCGCGGAGCAATTTTTGGGGGCGACAGCACGACGGGACTGACAGCAACAACAATTGCTGATTAGCCGCCTGACATATGCCCCAGAACGTAGCACAGAACGATTGCATTTTACACAATTAGCCATTTTGCAGCAAAAGCAACAGAAACAGCAACATTTTTGTCACCACGAGGCAATGCCAAGCGACGCGTTGCATGTGTAGCAACAATGTTTGTCAACACAATTGTTGCCTGTCTGTCTGGTCGTCTGGCAGCTGGGTTGTCTGGGTTGCATGGCTATGGGCTATGGCTGTTTCGGTTTGCCATGACTGTTGCACTGTGGTTTCTGTGTGTTGTGCGGAATTTATGCAAATGATCGTCAGGCCAATGCGTTGACAATATGTCACATGTCACTTAGTCGCCCGCCAATTGCCATGCAAGCACAAAGCACACACAGGCACACACAGAGACACACACACCAATACCTGAAGACAAAGGCAATTTGAATCGATAGATGGATGGATAGATCGAACTATAGATTTCTTATGTGGTTCCAAGGCACAAGGCATGCATAGGCACCCGCACGTTCTGAACTCTGGCTACGAACCCCCAAAGCAACAGAGCAGCAGCAGCAACAGAGCAGCAGCGACAGCGAAACGAACGACAGCAGTGAACAAACGAAAATGGTAAAAATCGCAGGCATTTGACCTCAAAATAGACAACAACTCTGTGCAGATAGACTTTGAATAGGTGCCTACACTTTTGCATACAGCCAGGCATATGGGCTTAATTGTGGGCTATGTCATGCATAGGCTTAAAGACTTAAAGATTGTTATTTATACTATGGGTATATAGTAAATGAGGAGAGACTTTGAGTGTGATTATTCCATACATCATGGGGAAACAGAGAGGTAGATAGTTTAGCAGGATTAAAATTTACTTTTTAATACACTTTTGAATAGATTTTCGAATGATTTTTTCAACAAGAAAACTTTTGTTTTCTTGGATGAAAATGCAAGTATTTTCCGAGGCAAACCAGGGACCGCAAATAAGAGTTATGAATGCTAATTTTAAGTAAATAAATCATTGTGAAGGGAAAACGTTACGGAAACATGGAATATACTATAATTTATAATTCAGTCATAATAAGCTATATCAGCAACAAATTTCTATTTACGATTTATATATTATAAATCGTTTTTAATTCTTATTTTTAATTTTTTTAATAGAAATAGAAGTAAGCGATATTTTTAATTTATATTTATAAAATTACAATAATAGTTATTTATGATTTTCTAAGGAAAACTGTCATTAAACTATGTACATATGTATTTGTACTTTTCTATACAATTTATAATAATTTTTGTTATTTTTTGTTTCCAGGTTTTCTGTAAAAGTACACAAATATAAAAAGAGACATTTGATATGCAAAAAGTAAGTTCAACCAACCGAATATTGGACAAGTGTATGGGTTTACTTACTTAATGAATTTCCATTGAAAATAAAGAATATTTAATAGATTTTTAATGCGCAAGGCTATGGGTATCCGTGCCTTAACCTTTTTTTATGTTTACTATGCATAGAATATAGAACAGAAATAACCCGTAATAATCCTTACATATTGGGGTCGAATAAATAAAATATAACAAAAATAAAATAAGAATAAAAATCAAATTCCTCTTACAACATTTTCTTAGGGTATCTCTGCGCTCAGTGTGTGCGTGTGGGCTATATCCTGTAGCGATCTATCGATCGTGTTGGCTGCCTGCTGACTAATGCCTCGATTGTTTGTTGCTGCTGCCTCATGCTGCTGCTGCTGCCGCTGCTGTTGCTGTGGCAATTGATTAATTGTCAAATTGCTGAAATGAGTGCAAAGACTTGTTCGGCTGTCGCCTTGCGTAAATCATTTTTACGCGCTCATGAATTTTACACGCATGGAGTTTTCCTTCTTATTTTGTTGTTGTTCCCTCTAATACTCTAATGAAGTTGTTTTTTCTGTGGGCACCCCACCCCCACTCTGCCCACCGCCTTCTCCTGGTGCTGCTTATCCTGGCACGCGCGTGCGTGCTGTCTTTTTGCGAGATGATTGCAATCGACACAAAAAGAGAGACCCAAAGCTCCAGAGCACCACAGCTCCACAGCTCCAGCTACGACTCCAATTCCGTGGCGACTCTAGAGCGCGGAGCAGAATGATTTATATGCCGTTGCAATCAGAGGCAAATGCGATATCCCAGCGCCAGTGTTAGATTTTGATATATTGTCTGCGTGTGTGTCTCTGTCTGTGTGTGTGTGTGTGTGCATGTTTGGGTTTCGCTTTGGGGGTTTGGGGGCACGCGCAGGATGTGTGTTTTTGTTGCTGTTTTTTGGTTCTGTTGTTGTTGTTGTTGTTGCCCCATGCCAGCAACAATTAACGCATGCGTGCCACAAAACACCAACACCAGCGATAAGCATCAAAACTCGTTGTAATCCCCCACACCCATCCCCCTTTCAAATGGGGTTAAGCGACTGTAGGCAGACTTCTTCTATAACCGTAACGAAAACGAAACCGAAAGAGTCCAGGCCAGGCCGCCAGTCCGCAAAACCTTGCGCCATTATGTGGCACAAATATTTGCCAAACAATAAGGCCAGGCCAGGCCAGGCTATGCCACAAAGAAACGCCATTAAGGCCGAAAGCAAACGTTGCAGACTCCGGACTCCCCCCCACTGGAGGCTGCTGCTGAACTCTAACCCTCATTTGCGATCGATTCGTGGCGATTTTCGTGGCGGCGGCAACGGCGGCGTCTGGAATATTTTCGTGCCGCGCAACGTGCAGAAAACCAAAAATCGAAAATTTAGTTGCTTACTTTTATGTAATTTCCCTTTTCTTTGTGGCGCAGAGGGGCAGGGGCAGGGGCAGGGGAGTGAGCCTCCCCGCTGCTCTAAACGAGCATGAAAGTGATTGCCAATAATTGCATAATCAGGCCCCCAGAAGAATCGCCTCAACAGGTTGCTGGCTGGCTGCTGCCACAAAAAAAGTGAAACTTTGACATTGGCTTGCTTAGCGGCCAGACAAGGGGTTAAGGAGGACAGGAGCGCTTGGAGTTCATTTCAGGTGAATGTTCCATGGACTGGTCAACGACCCAAAACGGAAAGTAAAAATTTCGAAGGCAAAAATTCTGTTGCAACAAAAGAATCCACAGAGTTGCCCTGCTAACATGCCTTTGGGGGGCTACATTCTCACACGAAAGACAAATAAAAGTGAATTTATCACGCACTCCCATGACTAATTCTTTGCCAGGGATTTACGACACTATATTATCGGTTATATATCGGAACAGTGAACAGTCGAGGGGAACGCAACAGTTGCGAGTCACTCGTTAAATTCCAATAAAAAACAAAGTTGAAAGCGAAATCGTAGCCAGAGAGTTTCAGTTGCATTTTTCCTGCCATTTCCATTTTCAGTTTTGTTTTTGTTTCTTTTTCTCTTCTTTTTGCAATATTTGTTTCTCGTTTTTCCTTGTTTTTTTTTATTATTTGTTTTTATTTAAATTCAATAAATAAAAAAATCATTTTTTACAGCAAAATTTCTGCTAAATTATTGCTCAAGTTTTATGTGTGTATTTTTTTGTTTGTTTGAGCAGATGACTGATGCCGAAGCCACATGCGATCAATACGCAGGGGGGAATGAAGGTACTCGGAGGCACTGGCCACTGGGCACTGAGCAATTGCGAGTGCACTCACTAGTCACCGAATTACGCGATAAATATTCATAAATTTATTGATCAATAAATGTACTGGGAATGGACGACCCCTGTGGGGGGGGCAAAAGAAAATGCCATGGAAAGTGTAAGGAAATGCAACTGGTATGAAATCTTAGGAGTTGTTGCTGTTTTTTTTAACGTCATAAAATAGTATTTAAATTGCAGAAAATTAACTTCTTTTTGCGTTGCTTTCTTTGAGCCTTAAAAAAAATATTAATTAAAATTTGTAATTGAAAACCTTAAATAAATATATTGCTGGGAATCCCATGAAAAGTCCTTTTATTTTATTTTAAATATTTATTTTAAATAGCTTCCCGAATATACGTATATAGATTTTCCCAATTTCCCAATGCACCGCAACAAAATGCGAATAAATCTTCAAGGCGATTGGGAAATACACACATTTTTACAGCCACCAAAACAGAATCGGTGCTGGTGGTGCAGGGGGTGGCCAGACGCCAAAAACTAATTATGTACGAGAAAACAACTTTAGATATTGCCAATGGAATGGGAGTCCATGGATCTGTAGCGACGGGGGAGGCTGCTGCTGCTGCTGCTGTTGCTGCTGCAAGATACATTTAGATGGAAGCGGAGAAAAACCAGCAGTGAAAAAAAAAGATCTGAAAATACAAGTACGAGTACGAGTGCTCGGTACTCGAAAAATTGAACATGATAAATTCATAATTGTCCATTCAACGAACACGAACTATAATTCATGTTAGAATAATCGAATCGGACGCCATTCAGAGACCATTCCGACCAGAAAGCCATTCAGAAAGCCTCAATTGAGGACGCAGACGGCGACGGCCAAAGCCCAACGTAAAGAAAAAAAAAACCACAGTAAAAAAAATGGCCAACATAGGTCAGGCGTAACGAGTCATTCATGTTGCAGCATGCTGCAACTGCAACTGCAACGCTGTTTTGCTGCAGTTGCAATTGGTACAGTTTTTGCTGCTGCAGTTATTGTTGCACCCACATAAGTCACACCCGATGAGGAAATCAAAGGAAAATCAAAGGTTTGAGAACTTGAAGGAGAATATTTTTTGGATAAATTTTGGGAAAAATAAAAGTAGATTTTCCCTCCAAAAACTCCAAAGAGAAATGTTGAGCTCATAGATGTTGCCATTCAAAGTGAGTTTTAGCTCCCCCCCAATGGCTTTGGCAACATCAGGTGGCGCCACTCAATTGCCGTCACGTTCAACGTTCAACGATTGCTGCAAAAACAACAGCAACAACAACAACTGTGCAACTCTGGGCGCTTGGCGCTGCTGGCGATTAATACGCAAAACGCTTTGGCATCTTAAATATTGTGGCGTGAGATATTTGTTGATAGAGAATCAGTAGGTGGTTAGGGGTAGGGGTGGAGAGCGGTGCAAGGGGCATGTATCGTTGGAGATTAATGTGAATATTGGCAATCAACATTTGTATTTGTATTTGGTGGTGGAGGGAGGGAGAATGCATTTGACATTTTGCTGCAACCAGAGGAGTGGAGTGGAGTGGAGTACAGAAAGGAGTGAAATATTTGGGGGAATTCCATGCAAAGTTCATTCATTCATCTGTCGGGGATTTATGAATACAACACTCAACAGAAGAGAGCTCTGGAAAATGTTTTATTTCAGATAAATAAATACCTTATCCATAATTTGTAAATTTAAAGATCAGGGGTTTACATTATAATTATTTCTGTATGGCTGCCGCATTCCCAAATGAATTTTTGATTAATATGCCAAAACATAAGATCTAAGTTTAAGTTATATTTTATTTTATACTAAGTCATAACTTTAACCCACTCCCAGAAGACAACACCACTCTTTTTGCTATAGAACTTATTTTTTTCCCACTAGAACTTATTTAAATTTAAATAATTTTCTGCAATTAATTTGCATTTACGCGAATATTTTGTACACGCTGCAATAAATTTTAATTCCAGAACAAGAAATCGACGCGCAGACAAAGTTGCTGTCGCAGTTCCCCCCACACCATTCGATCCCTGTCTAATTAGAGGTCTCTCTGCAGCTGTTGACTCGGAGAATGATTCGTGAATATTTATGAACTTGGCGGAATAACAAATTGAAATTGTTTAGCAGATTTATTTGAACAATTAGCACAAAACCATGATCATAATTAGCAAACGGAATGCCAATTGTTTGTCTGTCTCTCTCTCTATATCTCTTTTATTTCTATCGATTTGTGGCACATACATAATTTGATGAAGACTCTGCCACAAAACGTTTGACGTGCTGCTGTCTTTGCTGCTGACTCCATTTGGGTGGGGGCGGCAAGTATCATGAAGCCCCAAATATGGCCAACGATTAAATGATTTTCATGTGCCATAAACGACGCGCGCGCAGCCTTTAATAAGCCTCCAATTTTAACGAGGCTGCTGCTGCAAACAGAAACTGAAATTGAAACCCGTTGCATGCCCCCACACCACCACACCACACCAATCCAATCCACAGAATTGTCGCAGACGTTGAGGCTCCATCAAGGCGTCCTCCATTGCGGCGGCGTCGGCGGCGGCGGCGACATGTTTAGATATGCGTTCGACTCGGCTTAATTGCAAGTTTTATAGACAGACAATCTTTGCGGCAGTTACAGGCTGCAGGCTACAGGCTGTGGCATGAATGGAGTAGGAGCATAGATGGATAGTAATTTTAATGGATATTTGATG